ATAATAATAATTATTAATAATAATAATTAAAACAGTAACAAAAAGATAGGAAAAATGAGTCAACAAGAATTAATATCTTTTATGACAAACACGAATGATTGTAATTGCTGAATAAACATGGTATAATCATATAAAGCTGAAGAGACTAAAGATAGAGGCGGGTATTTAATGCAATCATTAACTGGTCCATCTATCGATCATGCCACGCAATGTATGATAATAACACATATGAAGAGTAGTATTTACAGCAATATTTAACATGACTGTAAGTATGAATCACGCTAGATAACTACATAGATCGTATCACTGGGTTGTATAATAATTGGACTGTTTCAAAACATTTGCACATTTAAATGTTATACGTCAAACAGATAAATCTTTAAGCACTAAAAATTTAGTTAACTGTAGGAGAAAGAAAATGCATCACTATAGAAAACGAACGTAGTTCTGTGAGTTAGCGACCAAACTTTTCGATCATTTGTGAGCAAAATGGCAACAATGATGAACCAGTGAAGTCAATGCTAAGGTGTGAGGTTGTATGAAGCGAAAGTGAGTACAACTCAGCTACCGTACAACGACAAAGGTACGGTCCAAATCAGAGTTGTAAATAGAAAAGACTAATAATACTCCATTTGAACTGCAGACAAACTTGAAATGGACGAACGAAGAAATTAGCAGAGGTGATGTTACTTATAAGATGAAGCAAAAAACACTGTGATGAAAAGGAGTATTTGAATTATAGTATGAACTAAGAATCTCAGAAATAACGTAATCGGATCAAGAAGTACTAGATAAACACGAACGAATGTACTGTACTTGGAATTCGAAATCAAGCGTTCAACAAGTACAAAGGAATCATTAGTTCATTTAAACACCACATATGAAATATATTCACGGATTTCACCATACTAAACGGTCATTGGATAAACAATATTTTTGAGTAGCCTATACTTCTGTCTAGCAAGCAAGTATATTGAGCAGTATTTTGTTGTGAACTTTGACCTTTGAAAGCGAAGGAAGTTTTATACGTTAAGAGTGCTTGATTAACTATTCTCCTGAGTCATTTATTGAGCATTTTCGAGAAGCCGAAGTGACCATCCCTGGGGTTGTGTGAGGTATCGGGTGAAAATGGCAAATCGATTGATTAGATGGTGAATGTTCAGGACAAGTGTTACGCATAACGAAGCATTGTCTACTTCAACGGGGGATATATCAGAAGATGCTGGTAGGATTTAATGTCAGACCCATCATTGGACCATGATGTCATTTACTGTTGCAAGATTTACTTGTTCATTAATACAGATCAGCGTAAGACTAAGATATCCCCAAGCTGCCAACTATGGGGAAATTTTGGCTCATTTCGGGGAAATGAGACGCAAACCCCGAAATTTCCCCAAAGTTGGCAGCTTGGGTCGCTATGGGTTTTTAATTTATTACATTAGTAAATAGGTACACGTCGAGGATTTACTGCATGGTCAAGAAAGTGAAATGATTTTTTTTCAGACGAACAAATGGACAATTCAGTGGTCATTCCTTAACAATATAACCAATGAAACGGCAATATGGTAGATTTACGATTTCCTCTTTATGAAACACCTAGAGTTAATACGTCACTCAAATATGTATCTGCAAATATCAACCTATTAAGCACCAAGTCAGTGAACCACTAAAACAATGGAGCAAAATTATTTCTAATACTAACCGAGAAATATATATGTGGGAATGAAGGAAAAGTCTTTTGGTTTGGTTGGAATATGATGTATAAAGGAAGCAGGGGGAAAGATAATATGGTTCCACACAAAATTATAGGGGACACATGAGTCTACGGAATGCAAAACTGTTCCTCGATTGTATACTTATTTGAAGATCAGATATGTTGCCTTAGTTGAAGAGTGATGACCACTGACTGTTGGTTTTACAAATAATGCAGAATACCAAAAGTCTGAAAACCTCACATGGTGATTAACGTTTAGAGCGGGTCATTAGAATTTCATATTTAGATGGTGGTGATATTTAGCTCGGGGTGATGATTTGGGTGAAGTTTTCTTTGAGTTGGATGCTTTGGTTGTGGAGCTTTCAGTTCTCCTCTGAACAACACCATCAGTACAAACTTCAGGTAGAAAGTAAGTATTCGAATTCCTCCATAAATGACTCATAGCTTGTCCTGTTGACCTCGGTCTTGATTGGTTACTGTTGACATTTATCCTGTCACTATCTAATTCTTTATTTTGACTGTACTCCACATTAATTTGATTATTGGTTTTTCCGACTGGTTGGTAGATTTGATTGGTTTCAATTTGTTCGTTGATTGACTTGAGTACCAAACTTCTAAAAATTCCCTGGTGCATTTGGAATCCCCTTAACATTTTCCCGGTCGAGTGTGTATCCACATGCATCGATATAAGCGACGATATACCATGGCGTTTGACCGCTAACTGGTGTTCGCCTATACGAAGATAAAGGAGACGCCCACTTTTTCCGATGTAGTGTTCTTCGCAGTTGAAAAAATTTATTCTATAGATGATTTTGGGGATTTTCCTCTTTTGTTATTTTGTCCATTCGTTTACACAGGATTGATTGTGGTACACCTAATGATTGCTGACGCGAACTACAGGATCAACAAATACTAACACTTCATGGATGACCAAAAGACAAAGCTAGAAAGGATACTCACATTAAAACAATTGGTAATCTTGACAACAGCGATCCACAACATAGAAATCAAAGAAGAAACACCCTTACGAAATAATTAATCAAGATTCCAAAACCACCTATGGAATAAAATATAAAAAACTGCTTAGTCAACCCGTCAAAGCGTCCTCTGACAAACATAGAACACCTGCTCCGAAAAGGATAAAACTACAATACAAATTACGCCTCAAAACTAAACTTATTAGCTGCATCAGAGATATCAATCAAAAATGCCGGAATAAACGAAGAAACTCAAGAGGAAATAAGACAAATCGTAGTACCGCTAACTCAATGGAAGAAAGACGACGCCCAACTGACCTCACGAGAACAAAGAACCTTAAAGAAAGTCGGAACTAAAGAAAATATTGTCATAGTTCTAGTGAACAACGGATGAACTAAAGTAACTTTGGACAAGGTAGAATAATATATCAGGAAAGCGGAGGAACTAATTGAAGACAAAGCGTATACAAACCGATGGACACAAATCCAATCAAAAGGTTATACAACCAAATCTCAAGGACTTGAGACAAGCTTGTCGAAGCAGTATAAATATCAGATGGATGATTAAATCCAACGGGCAAGTACTCCCTCGGTCCTACGGCAGGCCTAATCCCTGGGTAAAGTTAATGAGATTCAAACCAGAAGCTACGAAGTGATATGATTATTCAACCCAATCAAAGAAAGTCTCGCAAAGGAAACCCTGTCTCTGCTCTTCAACAACTGCAAATTGACCTAGTGACTGAAACAATTGAAAGAAACCACATTTGATCACCATTTTCTGTAGTTACTTGGTTCGGCCTCGATAAACTTTATTCAGTAATCTAGGCTAAGAGTAAATCAAGTATATTTGGCTTAAGAACTTCCAGATTCTATAGAAAATGAGTCATTTCACTAGTGTTAGTATCGTGTTGTGAGTTCTAAAGAAGCTTTAGTGATTATACATTTTAAATGTCTGGACGCAGCATGAACGATTAAAAACACTGATTAACTAACTAGTTTGTTAGCACGCTTGTACTCCTGATTTAAATTTTGTATTCATGTTAGAGTACTAAAATACAATCCCTGAGAGCTCCTTTGAAGTTAGGTCCTCACAAGCCTTCCGACATAGACTGAATAGGATAACTGGACACTATACAGCTCTAAAACTTCCGGAAACCTCTTTAGAATAACAAACCTTATCTAAAAACCAAAAATTATAGCCTTAATAGCCAATAGTAACAGATGTTATCTTCATAAAAGTATAGTGTAGCACCGTTTGGAAGTGAGGTGTTTAACATCAATAACATGAACTTCAAGACATAAAATTAAAAACTTCATCCAAAAACATTCTTTGACATGCTCTTCACATCCACTGAACAGACGAAATTCTTTATAAGATAATTTATTTTTATATAAAAAATGCTTTGTGAATTTAATGTAATTTCAATGGCCATAACGGATTTCAACTGTTAGTACAAGTGGGTTTTTATAAAAGTATGACCTCCCAACTATTAAATGTGAGCGCTTCGCCAATTTTCTTCTCCATCAACTAGGATGGATGGTTGCTCAAATAATCTATACTGACGAATGAATGCACTCACTAGTGTTTTGGTCTTTTCTCTAAGATGTACCACGAAATCTTCCTAACGCATCCACATAATTTATCCACCTTTCGTTCTGGAACGCATTTATTTGGTTGGAATGTTTGCATTTCAAACAAATATTGTCACCGTGACAATTGTACCTCTGTGCTAATGTGGTATGGATATTCGAACTGATGTACGTACTTACAAAGTTCTACGTTGTTGACTGAGTGGCAAATCCTGTTTATCATTAGGTTTTCTCCTGCAGTCGCATAAAACGCTTATCTAAAATGTATTCAGTTCTAGTCTACTGATAGCAGAAACCTCATACTGAAGTTTTATTTACAACGCATAACAACCAAGCTGCAATGTACCACGCCACTGATCATTAGCCAGAGCATTAATTGCTTTCAAACTGTTTATCAGATCAGAATTTCAAGTGTGTACTTACAGCGTTTTGTTTCGATTAGTGGTTTTTTTTATCCCCAGGCTTAGTAGTCGAAAATCTGTGACTACAACATTTTCGAACCAGGACAGCATTTGGTAGAAAATGCAAACAGAATCTCAGACAAAATATAAGGAAAAGTATCATGAAATATTAAACCTAAGACTCATTGTCATATTGTTAGTAAGCGTTCTAAAGCAACATTATTATGTACTGTTTAATATCTAGTATATGAAACACAAAAACCCTACCTAACGTTCCTGTAAATTCATTTTAATATAGTAATAAAAATGACATTTAATAAACTTGTCCGAATTGTTATATTTTTTTAATTTAACTCACTGCTGTAGGTTACTATCTTTAACATAGCACTGAATGTCATTCATCACAAGTTTGTCAAAATATGGGCGGCTCATACCAATCTATGATAACTGCACTTCAGTGATAGTGATTAAACATAATGACTTTTTTACTTTAAGGATACAAGTCCAGACGTGATCTGTGACTTGTGAAGAATCGATCATTTTTGTAAGATGAAATAGAAAAACATGAATTGTTCGAAACAAAAACGAAGTCCTCCAGAAAATAATTTGCAATTTTAGTATAAATACATGGATTATATCACACTATAAGGGATGAAAGATCACAGTCTGAAACATGGGGGGGGGGTTATAAATATATACCTGAGGGAATGATAACACAATAAGGGATAGTTCAGTGTTTTTGCTGAACAAGAGTTGAGAGATACTTCACATGAGCCATCACTTCTGCCTAAAGAAATATAATTAGAGATAATGAGTAATGAATAAAATGGAAATCAATGTAGTACAAATAATGCATCAAAGTCACACTTTAACTACATATGAATTAGCATTTATTCATTACAATACAACATATACTGCGGTGTGAGATACTTATATCCATAAAAGTAGTATATAACGATAGTCAGGAATGGAATGTATTTCAGTAGAAGATTGAGAAGGAAAGAACGGGAACGGAAGGCAATTGGTATGAAAATGCAGGAACAGTGACATCTAAGACGATGGGCTGATATTTGTAAAAGAAACACTCAGGTTTGGGACATTTGATTGATATTTTGCAAATTAACTATTTACTGTATTGTTCTCAGATTTTAGTAAGACGTTCCGTCATTTTACGCTCAAATACATTCGTTTGTTCCCACTCATGTTCTTGTTCACCACAATACATCGTTACATACACCAACAATTATTTTTGGAAAACTGCGAAATTTAAAAAAATAGTTCATCCACCTGATGCTGACATATGTACTAATTTCACAATTCTTAATCACCAAGAGTATATACACTGGACTTTATTTGTTAAGAGTCACCACGCCCTGTATCACGAAAATTGAAATTCATGTGATGACAAAGCAAGACTTGTCAAACCCAAAGAAATCAAATGATTTACCCATAGTTAAGAGGAACTTTTTGTTACCGAAGCGTTAATCTAAGCTGACACTTGAAAAAGTCACCTTAGTCAAGTTTAAACTCTCGTTAAAGTCCTTCTAGGGTTACAGCTAGTTTCAAGCGCGGGTAAGAGAGGCTTAGGCATAGAGTTAACAACCACATCCCACATTGACGGTAAAATTCTCCCAACCCACCTCTCCTGACAACTAGAGCGACAATTAACGCAGCTACATGGAATGTCCAGACTGTGTAGGAAATCAAGAGGGTTACTCAAAAGGCGGCAGAAATTAGAAGATACAACTTCGCTCTGCTTGAAATAAGTGAAACACATTGGACAGAAGCTGGAAAGGAAAGACTAGGTTGGACAGAATCGTTATTCTGCACTGATCATGAAGAAAATGTACCCCACCACACATAAGGAGTTACAATGACCATCTTCAAAGAAGCACGAAAAGCACTTATACGGTGGGAATGTTATGGTTAATTATTCATCAAAGGGTTTTTCTAAATAAGTTAGTCAGCTATAACGTAGGACCAAGCACATATACGCATCGGTCGAAGTTGCCATAACTCATAAGCACAACAAGATGATCACCAAACGCATAGAAGCAGTTACTTTAATGGTAGTATATAAAAAAGCATTTCATATAAGGATCTAATACAGGGAGAAAGAATTAGTTCGTAGAAAGAAAGGTATAAAACAATTTTAATCTCACGGTTTAAGGGAAGGCAGAGAGTATATACATCTACGCCATTGTGATCGATCCTGAGCCATGTGACACAGAGTCTCCAAGCAGTGGTTACGATAGTCACGCGGATCCAAACCAAGTAGTTTGCATCTACCAACATGGCTGAGACTAGAAGTTAGTGGCTTAAAGCACTGATGCCATGTTTTGCTTTGACCACCCTTAACTTTCTTCCAATCATCCCCAACAATAGTCAGCAGTGCGCTTCGTGATAATCAGGTGTTCAGGCATACGTAACACTTGGCCCAACCATTTCAGTCGACGAAAATTTACAATCTCATCAACTGATCAGACTTCCAAGATAAGTGAAGTTGTCGACGCGTTCGATTACTTCACTCCCTATCCTTAGTTCAGGTGTTGACGCACGCCAGTACTGAAGCAACAACTTGCACTTAGAGGGAGAGAAGCGCATCCTAAATATATTGGCATTATTGCTCAGTGCTATCAAAATACTGCATTTTATCAGCATCTTCATTAAACAGGACTATGTCATCTGCGTATGCTAAGTCCATAAGTGGACATCCTGGTAGGAAGTCAATGAACGAAGGTAGCATCACTGCCGTGCTGGTTGTCTGAAGGAAGCATCTTACTGCTGTCACACCTCTGTACAGTCAGCAGTACGACTTCGCCTTCGGACCTTGGGTTTGCTGCCTCTGATCTTACCGCACTTCAACCGACCTGTTTGGCATGGTAGGACCTTGAGGAACGATTTTCCCAGCCAGTATAGCTCGATGGGTTCATCAAGATATGCAAGCCCGGTCACGATGTCGAGGTAGCAGCAACGGCCGGGTCTTCAAAATGAAGAAGAGATTGGAATGAATGCAATCCAATGCCACGCACCCACCATTGATGGGGATCAAGATGTTAAAGACTAGTTTTGAGGCACAAGTATATCATAGAGAAATGTCCAGTAAAAAACCTGATCATCAGGACGGAGGAAATGAATACCAAGGTCATGCTGGAAAACGAAAACGAGAATTGTGAGAGACTGACAAATCTATGTGCTTTCAACAGAGTGGATATGGGTGGTGCTATTATTCCCTACAAACGCACCACAGAGGACCAAATCGATCACATCTGCATAAAAGGTATCGGAAGTTCATGAAAGATCTACAAAGTGAGGAGCTGATACAGCATCAGACCACCACCTGGTAGTGGCGAAGAGAAACACTGGGAAAGGACCAAAAGAAGCAATAACTTGCGAGGGTGCTAAGCCACAAAGGCACCAGAATAAAGAGTGGAATCCATCGATAACCTGGGGAAAAATTAACGATAAAAAAGAGAGCAGCCAGTAACATCCGAAAAAGAGCCGAGAAGTTAAGACAGACCCGATATACAGAAGTAAAAAAAACAAATGAAAAAGAGAATTGGAGTTGGCAATCGGAAATATGTGGAAAACCTAGCAACGACGGCAAAGCTGCACGAGGATGAAATGTGAGAGAACCATATGGCACGACGAAGCTTGAAGGTAAGTTTTGTGAATCAGAGACCAGCCAAGAACAAGGAAGGCAAACCAATCACTGAGATTCAAGAGCAGCGGAACAGGTGGGTAGAATATTGAGCTGTTTAATAGACTAGCTCTAGTGAATTCACTGGATATTACAGCAGTACACACAGATATCCCTACAGATGTTACCCCACCAACAACTGGAGAAATCAACAAGGGAATCAGATAAATCAAGAATGTTAAAGTAGAAGAACCAGACGGCAAAACACCTGAAGTACTGAAGTCAGATATACGGGTGACTGCTCCACGATATCTTTAGAAAGATTTGGTAGGTAAATCAAATATTAGAAGTTTGGAGAGAAGGATACGCCATCAAGATACGAAAAGACGGAGACCTACAGAGGCATCATACTACTGTTAATGCCAGACAGCTTCAAACAGTGTTTCTCAACCGAATGAAAGATTCAGTAGACGCCCAACCTCGAAATCAACAGGCTGAATTTCGTAATGGTAGATCATGTGCCGACGAAGTCGCTATACATTGCTATACATCAACCTCTTTGACTATGAGAGCATTCGACAACGTGGATGGGAGAAACTTGTGGTGTAGTGAACAAGAACACGGGTGGGGACAAACGGATGTATTTAGCACAACAATTACAGTCTATCTCAACAAAATCTGAATACCATATAGTCAATCGTCAATTTGTAAAATATTCATGCATCAAACCAAACTGGACTGTTTCTGTTGGAAACACCATTCCATTTTTCATGCATTTTCTTACAAATTCCAATGTGTTCTCGCTCTACCTTTCTTGATCTTCGCCATCTTCCGCTGTCAGACATTACGTTCTTTTAACGCACGTTATATACTACTTATATCAATATAGGTACCTCACACCACAGTGGGACCTTCTTCAATTCCATGGAATACTTAAACAGATCGTCATCATTAAGCGGAACTCCTATGACGGACTGAATCGCAAAGTTGTATGTGTAGGGGGGACAACTGATGGATATGTTTCAAGTGGAAACTAGTCTCAGACAAACCCGTCTACTCTCATCTTTTCTCTATCCTGGTTGTTGACTGGATTATGAAGACTTTTCCATTTCAGGAGAAGCATGAAACAGTGGAAAAATTGGATGTAGCTACACGACTCGGATATTCTAAATGATTTAACCCTTCTATCTCATATACAATAAAAAAACGCAGATGAAAACAGCCAGTGTAACAACAGGTCTCAATATTAACAAAGGAAACAGCGGGATTTTGAAATACAACACAGGGCTCCAACCAAATCACATTTGATGAGGAAGCCCCGGAAGAGGTGCAAGCTGGTGCACATTTGAGTATTATTGATAAACAACGAAAATCTGATGCAAATATGACTGCATAGATTCTCAAATCAAGAGTACCATTCCTACAGTTGAAGAATATCACTTAAAACCTCAGTCAGTATTTTCAACATCAACGATAAAAGTTATGTACGGTGCTGAAACTTGGAAAACTACCACAACCATCGTCAGAAAATTATAGGTATTTATACACAGGTGTCTACATAAGATACCCCGGACCTGTGGCCAGAGACTATCAGGAACAATCGACAGTGGCAGGGAACGAACCAACTTTCTGCTGGAGATAGATAGGATGAGCATTGCATAAATAATCAAACCTCGCAACAACGAAAGAAAAAGAAAAAAAGGCAGACATCAAGATCATGAGTAGCACTTGGGAACGACTGAAAATGAGAGCTCATGAGTTCATTGGATGATTGTGGTAGGTAGTCAATACTCCATGGGGGATAACAGGTTTAAGTAAGTAGTCACTTTTAAGTACGATAGAATGTAACAGAAGTTTACGACAGAAATTTAGTGCGGGTCCCACTAAATATCTTTTGTCCTACAGGCATGTCCCGAAATTTATTCAACAATTCTTGACCTTGATAAAAACGAGAAATAAATATTATAAAGCTATAAATGTCACATATTTCAACCTTGTATCCTATTGTCAAACTAGTTAGGTTTAAAATAGTTATTAAGTTTGTAAATGTACACACATGTGAAGATATGCAACACTACTAGCATTAACATAGTTTTATCTCATTACAAATTGGTTAGGGAACATAATATAAAGCAACTAACAAATTCATGTACACATTTTTCGTAAATAAAAAATCCAGATACTGTACTGTAGCATTAAAACTAAAAATTTGGTAAGTCAACGTTAAAGTGTCCTGGAATCAATAAATTATTTAGATATATTAATCTTTCTCACAGATTTACACAGTTTATGATTACCATTATTGAATTCAATGAGTAAAACATCCATTAAAGTTTAATTTTGTCAAGTTAATACATTAATTTTTAAACAGTAAATAACACTTTAGAGATTAAGAATCACATAATCTATTCTGATTTAGTATTTCGACCATTAAGTAAATGAGAGACACGAGAATTGATTTTAAGATTAAAGTGAGCAAATCAAATAATCTATAAATAGATATGTTTATATTAGGTTAATCATTTTAATAAGTGGTTGCAGTATTTATACTTTATCATATACGTTGGTGTTTTCGGGAACATACAAAGAAAAATCCACGATTAATATGTCAAATCCTTAAAGTTAACGAAAAGAGGAAGTGAATCGCGACTACTGAGAAGCAATGGAGAAAAAATTGAGTGAAATTTAATTCTATTAAAGTAGGTTGAAGTTCAGTTTGTTTGTCGTTTCTGACATCCTGACGGAATTTACGGCACATTTATGATATTTCTCAGTACCTAAACTAATCTTCCACTTGCTTTTGCGTTTTCAAAGTTTGCTTAGTGATCGTCGTTCCCCAAACGCCCTAAAACGACCGAGGGTGGGGAGAATCCACTCTCCCTTTCGAAATGCTCTATCCCCTGACAGTGTCAGGGAAGTCCTACTCAATTTCGCAATGATGATGGTTACGAAAACGAGAGGACGAAATGTGAATGTCCGGTGTTTTAACTGGGATGGTGGATATAGAGAATCCACCTAGTGGAGATGGAAAACCCTGATTCCAAACCAATGATGCACATGGGCTCCAGGATCCTGAGGGAAAAATGGTGCACGAACCTATTGTTGGTCACCGGTTACCATGGGACTGCATCTCCTAACTTTGCTCCACTGCCATGTGGATCAAACCTCTAGGTCAAAGGCTCAGGAAGTGGCCCCAAAGAAAACCACCTCTTTCAATTTGGACACTGATGAAGTATCCAAGAACTCACAAATCGAATGACGAAGTGTGGCGCATATATATTTAGTGCCTTCTTGTACCTATGTTTAAATAAATGAATAAACTGACCCAATTTCCCAAAAAAACGTTTTGTACTGATAACGGAATACCAGTACTATTGAACTACCCCGTATAGTAGATGTACTGATAAATAGCTGAGAATAAATTTCGAAGGACTTTTGGAACAGCCTTTAATACCTTATTCTTTGAAACGCTGAAAATGTTAATACTGGTTGAAAAGTCAAATACAATAATATACCTTTGTTCTTGTTGGGATACATTCTGTGATCCGATCCCACCGCTCAGGTGTCCCTTTACCAATAGAGCGTATAGCGACCTCCAACTGTTGTTGTTCTACTTTAGTCCATCCATCATTACTTTTGATAGGTTTAATTTCTGTAGATTTAAGTGTTGCTTCATCTTTCTGTTGTTTGAGTTTTTTTCGACTAATATATGGTTCATCAACTATGACGACGTCTGTAATTAATAATAAATTAATACAACCAACAAAATTAGCCATATAAAAGTAGACACAAATTCGCAGATAAGCCTTTTTTTAAAATGGATTAGTATAAAAAATTAAATAAGTATTTAAGATGCTAAATTTACATCAGATTAAAGAGTAGATAAAAATTGGAAGACAATGCATTTGAATAACGAAACACCAAACTGTTACAAGCCCAATCATGTGTAAAAGCTATTCGCAAACAAGATATTAAGCAGGTAATAATAATAATAGTATAGAAAGTAAATACAACAATAATGGCGTATATTGGTTAAATAAGAGAAGTTTAACGTAACACACTGCAACCTAGTTAATAAAAAAATATCTAAAGAGGTGTACGGTGATTTTGAACCTTAGAATGAACAATATAAATCACCAAAGTTCAAGTTGATCTAATTAACAAGTTTAAGGTAGGACGAAATACATGTTATGAATTTCGTTGAGGGCCATTATCAACTGAAAGGAAATGTAAGACTACTGTATTTTCGATCAGTTTCAAGGAGGAAAAAATCTGCAGGTCTGCTTTTTCATGGTAAAATATTTTGTTAGAAATACATCAGGTTTGTTGCTTGCATGAGTCCGATTCCAAATGAACTCAATTGATGAGAATGTTATCAATACTGAACTCGTCAGTCAGTCAAACGTAACTTAGGACCTGGCATGTATTTAAATCAGTTTAAGTTGCATTACGATATTAGCACAGCAACATGTTGTTAGAGTAGATCCTAGAGTAGTAGAAATGGCAAAAGTATTAGTGGTAACAGAAAAGATTAGGCATCAAGTACAGAACTCAAAGAGAAAATCTAAATTAGTGAATTTGGGAAAAATGACCCTGGAGTTATTTTGATCTGAAATATTCCCATTTTAAAATAGGGATTTATTCTTTACTTCTTTGATAAACTCAATTTTTTTTCGATTTTATAAAATTATATTGACAGCCTCACCCCTAAGAAAACATACACGTGCGTTAAGCCGTATTTCAACAAAATACTAATGCCAAATATTTAAAGACAACATACACTATCATACAGTCAGTCAGTAACAACGTAGAACTTCGTATGTACGTACACCACATTAGCACAGAGATGCAGTGGTCGATTCAAATCCCGTAGTGGTAGAGGTAATAAGAGTATAAGCAGTAATCGGGAAGATTAGGGTTTGGAGATGTTATTCAAGGAGTATAATCCAGTGAAATAAATTTGGAAAGAGAAAAAAGAAAGGGACATGAAGAATTCAGAAGGTTAGAATTTCAGAGAGCACAAAGAGTGGACGCACTTGCGCCATTGCAAACGATTTTGAGCCATGTCATTCAGGCTCTCTAACCATCGGTTGCTATCATCTCGCGGTCCCCAACCAGGTAGTCTACACCTACCTACATCACTCAGACCACTTGCCAGTGACTTCATGGACTTGTGCCATGTTTTGGTCTGGCCGTCCTTAGCTTTCTTCCAACCTACTACTATACCAATGAACATCGCACGTCGAGGCAGTCGGTCGTTGGGCATACGTAACGTGTCCCAGCCATCTCAACTGATGAAGTTTCACTACGTCATCAATTGATTTGCCATCCTTACCTAGTACCCGTTTCCAAACAACTGCATTACTTACTCGATGGTCCCAGGATATACGAGCAATATTTCGAAGGCGCCTATGATCAAATACTTGAAACCTATGAATATCCTCTACTCCTACCGGCCATGTTTCACTGCCATAAAGTAGGACGGGACGAACTGCTGCGCAGTAAACACGTCCTTTGGTTGATAGACGGATATCTCGCCTACGCCATAAATGACGCAGGTTGGCAAAAGCTAGTCGAGCCTTCTGTATCCGTGCTGAGATTTCGTCATACACCAGACCACAAGGGCTGATGAGACTCCCAAGATAAGTGAAGCGGTCGACACGCTCAATTACTTCACTTCGGGTTTCAATGCAACCCAATCCTGAAGCAACATTTTACATTTCGAGGGGGAGAATCGCATCCCGAACATGCTTGCATTGTTGCTTAGAGTGATCAGAAGACTCTGCATTTTGTCAGCGTCTTCACCAAATAAAACTATGCCATCAGCATATTCTAAGTCAACAAGTGAACCTCCCGGTAGAAGTTCAACCCCTGTCAATTTAGATGAGGAGAGTGTTATCTCTAAAAGTACATCGACCACAAAGTTGAACAAGAATGGAGAGAGTGGACAGCCCTGACGAACACCACTTGATGTAATCAATCCTGAAGACAGTTCGCCATCAGCTCTCACTCTATCAGTTGTGTTCGAGTAGAGAGCCTGTATAAGGTTAATGTACTTCTTTGGTACTCCTTTCAGTGACAAACACTGCCATAGAACCTCATGATCAACAGAGTCGAATGCCGCCTTAAGGTCGAGAAATACTACCATTGTGGGGCGTCTGAACGTGTTTCTGTGTTTTAGAACCCGACGTAGTGTGAATATCTGGTCTATACAACCACGTCCAGGTCGAAAACCAGCCTGATTTTCTCTAGTCTGTTCTTCACGAGCTTTGATTAGGCGTCGAAGTATTATTGAAGCTAATATTTTAGACACTATATTAGTCAAACTGATTCCTCTGTGATTGTCACAAGAGGACTTTTGTCCTTTCTTATAGACTGGCACAATCAGTGATCGAGACCAGTCAGATGGGATTACGTCCAGTTCCCAAATTCTACCTAAGACCTCGGTTAATTTCACTGCTAATACTGGACCACCATCCTTAAAAATCTCAGGAGTAAACCTGTCAGGGCCTGCTGCTCTCCCTCGTTTCAGATTTCCTATGGCTTTTTCAACTTCGTAAAGGGACGGAGGACTTACTTTAACTTGCCATTCAGGTTGACTAGAGATCGTGCGAAACCGAAGTGTGATTGAAGGCCAGTTGAACTGATCCCTAAAGTGTTCTGCCCATCGATCCAATCTCCTGGATTGAGAATGAATAATATGTCCATCTTTCTCTGAGAGTGTTTCGCTAACAGTCGGTTTCCTAATACCGGTTTCCTTAACAAGTCTGAACAATTGTCTGCTATTACCTATTGCTGCTGCCTTTTCCATCTCTCTTGCTTTCGCTACCCACCACTGTTCACGATCATTGCGTAGAATTCTTGTCAGCTTGCGCTTAAGCTGACTCCGCTCTTCATTATGTTCAGAGCCAGGTGGAATGAGTTTCCGAGCTGGTGTCACTTTCCGGCTGCCCATACCGTGGAAGAGTATTTCTAGAGGAACCTGAGAAGGAAATTGGATTAGTGTTGATCTTAATGACCTGGGAGCGTGACCACAGAGCCCAAAGGACAACTGCCTGAGGCCGGTCACGCACGGCCTTTTCGTGTAAGGTTTTTAATGTGTTAGCTCCGTTTTTCTAAGGGCCTTACCGCCGGAGACGGAAATCCGTGAGGTAAGGTGAGGTGTGACATTTTTAGGGTCGACCTTTTCTAACCCCACTCCTCCTTGTGGAAAGGCAGCATCGCTGTTGTGCTGGTTGTCTGATGGAAACACGTTACTGCTGTCACACCCCTCTACAGTCAGCAGTACGACTTCGCCCTCAGACCTTGAGTTGCTGGTTTTAGCCTTACCGTTCTCCAATCGACCTGCCTAGCATGGTAGAACCTACAGGAACATATGATCCAGCCAATATAGCTCGGTTAAGTCATCACGATAGACAAGCCCGATCACCGCGTCAAGGTAGCAACTTCGGTCGGGAGAAGTATTATTTACTTTTGTATAAATATATGACTTCAAATAGTAGACACATCTGTGAACACTGCTTTATTTGTTGTCTCTTACTGGAAAATACTTCACCATTTAAATAGGAACTATATTTGGAAAGTGCATAAAAATGTTAACTAGTTTTTTTTTTTAAAAAGATCATAGTCATTCGTTATGTATTATTAATTGATTGATAAAAAGAATCTTATTTTGAAATTAAAATGATTAAAGGACTACTTAACTTGAGTATGCTAAAAACTTACCTGAAGACAAATCATTATTCGCATTCAGTTGAGTTTCTCCATTTGTTTGATTGATAACGCATGGTTCTTTTCGTCTCAATAAACGTTTACGAAGTCGTTTCTTTGAATATTGTTCTTCACCTGATTCGTCTGATTGATTATTACTTTGTTCAGAATTACTTTCTCCACAGAAATTATTTACATTTGTTTCAAAGGTTGGGATTTCATCAGGATTTATATCTAAATAATAACACAATAAGTAGAAAGAAATTATTTAATGATTAAGACGTTCGGAACACATTGAGGAGAAATCCCCCATATTTAGTGTAAAAAAAGACAATGTTTCAGTGTAACTGGTAAAAGAATAAGTACATAGAAAAAACACTAACAAAAAGTTAGACAATTTTTCCTGGCAGAAATGACGGGAACATTGTCAACAAACCGCAAATGTACTTAAAAACCACACGAATAACACTATTTATAACTCTATCAGTTTGTTAATATATATTTCTATATATATTGGAAGACGCAATGAAGTATCTGATATACTCGTTTCATACAGTATTCCATAAAGTAAAAACCTCTCAACTTGATAATTAGTACAGGTAAAGAGTAGACAGCTCTATTTATGTGAGATCACTTAATGATTTGTCATTGAATATCACTTTATGAGAAAACAGAATCATACCCTACAACAGAAAATTTGGGTTTTTTAATGACATTTAACATTATTGATAACTTAGAAAAAGAAAAGGACAGAATATATGGTAAATTACGGTGAAAACGTTTAACCAACCACCATTGTAGCCTCACTCAGGGCACCGATTCAAAATTGATGTATGTGATCTATCTGAGACCCGTATTCGAAACTAGTGAAGTACTTTTGTGGTGTATGCTATATAGACTGACAGATATCAGTAGTACCAAACGGAAGTGGAACGCCTACCAGTAGAAGATTGACGTGGAGTGAACAGGAAGGAAGACAGAGAGCAAGAGGAATAACAAGTGTTGGGAGAACCATGAAGTAAGTAAAGAACAGCTGAAGGAATACGTGCAAATAGTGTATTTAATGTATGATTGTCAGATTTTACGAAGGCGTTAAACAATAACGTGGTTTTCTGTTCATGAGATCTCGTCCACTATACTACAAGTTTGGTCTCCAAATGTCTTTCTGAAACATTTTTTAGCATGTATCTATCCGGGAACCCTGTGACATCATTCGGTTTTGATGGTGTTGGTGCCGCACCAAGCGCTATCCCCCAAATGCCCTGGTATGGGCGAAAGTGGGGTGGGCTCGCCCCCCCTCTCGAAATGCTCTCACATGGCCACGCGTATACAGCCTCTACCAGGAAAGTCCTACTCACTGCCTTCTCGTGGCATTACTGTTGTTTAAGAAAATGAGAGGGACGAAAGGCGAATGTCCGGTACATTAACCGGATTCCAAACCGATAGTGCACATGGGCCCCAGTATCCTGAGGGAACAAATAGCGTGTGAACCAATCGTTAGTCACCGGCTACCATGGGAATGCATCTTCTCACGATGCTCCACTGCCTTGTGGGTCAGACCTTTAGGTCAAAGGCTCCGGTGTGGCCCCCCAAGAAAACCACCTGTTTCGGTCTGGGCGCCCGGACAGTATCACAGCCCACACACAAAGAGAATGAAATGACGATACTTATGGAAAATACTATACTTGCTTTGATTAACCGCCAAACGATTCACATTATTGTTATTATTTACCACGTCACTTATTCACTCTTTTATTCGCACTTTGAGTATCCTTATTTTTCAGCTTACACAGCAGCTCGCCTATGGTGGAAAGTCGGTTCTATCTAAATGACCTCGAGTCACTGACTGGTCGAAAATTGAATGCTACCACCGAATACGAATACTGAAGCACTTTTTCTGAAACCACGTGCAACATTCAAACTGGCTACCTTCAACGTTCGCACATTTATGCAGGTTGGACAAAAGATAGGGCTGGCTATGTCTTTGGAAAGTCTTAATATCGATTTCTGCTGTCTATCCGAAACCCATATTCAAGACTCTAGTGAAGTACTACAAATTTGCTCTCCATCTGTCGCTTCGAAAAGCTTGTTTTACGGGCGCTTATCCGGAGACTTTGTGGCATCTTCGTCTGGTTTGCTAGCGTTGGTGTCGCGCTAAGCGCTAGAGCTGAGGCAGCACTAATCGATTGGATTCCCATTAACAGTCGGTTATGTGCTGTTAGATTAGAAAGTTCCATAAAAGTGAGAAGAAATCGCCGTGAGAAACGATGTTTTTTTGTCATCTCCGTCTATGCCCCGACAGATTGCAGCCAGGATGCAATCAAGGATGAATTCTACCACCAGTTATCTGTTCTTCTCCAGAAAGTGCGTCCGACAGATATTGTAGTACTAGCTGGAGACTTGAATACTTAGGTCGGGCGTGTAGACACAGAAGCGAATCATTTAGGTGTTCGATGGGGACTTGTTGGTCGCAGGACAGATAACGGAGACCGTCTACTGCAACTGTGCACAGATCACAACCTGTTTATGGCTAGCACCAACTTTCGGCACAGTCATCGCCGATTCGCCACCTGGTGTCCTCCCTCTGCATTTCAAACCTGGACTCAGATTGATTACATCGCGATCAGCTACCGCTGGCCTGGTTGTGTACAAGACTGCCGCTCCTTTTGGAGTACCTATCTGGACTCTGGTCATGCCCTGGTCTGCGCCAATCTCACTTTACTTTTCAGTGGCCAACGAAGTGACCACCACCAAACGATTGATGTCAGCAAGTTGGTTGCAACTTCTGTTGGAAGTGAGTATCGAACCGAGCTAGCTTTTAGGCTAGCTACCATTCCACCAAAAAGTACAGAAGTATGGAGAATTGGTTGCAACTTCATGACGCCATGAAAATGGAGGTTACAGTCAGTTGTGGGTTCGCGAAACATCCCGCTTTTAAGCACTGGGTTTCTTCAGGCTCCTTAAAACTCATCGAAGCCCGTCGATCTACTCCGGGTGACCGTGAGTTTGACCACAAACGAAGGCTGATACGTAATGAGGACCGAGAAACCTGGTGGTCGGAGCGTGCTAATGAGCTGGAAGCAGCAAATGCATCTGGTAACTACCGGAAGCTCTTCCAACTCATCCAAGCCACTGGCAGCAAAAAGTCTGCTGTGAGCGAAACAATCTGCGAGGATGACGGGATGCCAATCACTAACATCCATCGACGTCTTGGACGATGGGCAGAATTCTTCGAAGGGCAGTTCAACTTGCCTGCTGCCCCAGCAACATCGGTCGGACTGTCCTGCCCTCCACGGCCGGTGACGACTGATCCACCAAATGAGGTGGAAGTCCGCAAGGAACTCCAACTCTTGAGGCGCTACAAATCACCGGGCCCAAATGACTTATCTCTGGTGGTGACTTCCTGGCTAAGGAACTGACTGTGTTGTTCACAAAGGTCTGGGAACTAGAGAGCGTACCAACGTCATGGAATGAGTCGATAGTTGTCCCTATCTTTAAAAATGGTTCACGTCGTTCCTGTAACAACTATCAGGGGATTAGTCTGCTTCCAACTGCGTTCAAGCTATTGGCTTCCGTCATACTTTGTAGGTTGTTCAAAACCCGAGAAACATTGACTCACGAGGAGCAGGCTGGTTTTCGTTCTGGTCGAGGATGTATTGATCATATCTTCACCCTCCGCCAAATGTTACAACACCGTCATACTTATCACTGTGCTGAGAATTCTATACTGTACCAAAATATAATATTGAATAAAGCCATTAATAATAATAATAATAATAATAATAATAATAATAATAATAATAATAATAATAATAATAATAATAATAAAGGCCAACAATCGTAGTGTTTCTTGACATCAGGACTGCCTTCGATCCGTTGGATAGGACTGTTCTCTGGGATTTTCTATTGAAGAAGGGTGTGCCTGAGAAGTTTATTAACATCCTAAAAGCCCTATATAAAAACACCTCAGGTAGAGTGAGAGCATACAACCACCTCTCTCCATTGTTCCATTCGAGCATTGGGGTTAGGCAGGGTTGCCCAATCTCACCATTCCTCTTCAACTTTGCCATCGATGACATTCTGGAAACAGCTCTGATGAATGTAAGTAATGGTGGTGTGGATCTGTTGCCTGGAGAAAGAATTCTCGACCTTGAGTATGCGGACGATGTTGTCTTACTGTGCGATAATGCCCAAGCCATGCAATCCGCACTTAATCAGTTGGCAATCAGTGTCCGTAGGTACGGTATATGATTTGCACCTTCAAAGTGCAAAGTACTTCTACAAGACTGGCAGGATTCTAATCCTGTACTCACCCTGGATGGTGAGCAGATAGAAGTAGTCGAGAAGTTCGTGTATCTAGATAGCTGCATAAGTGCTGGTGGTGGCGTGAGTGATGAGATCAATGCATGAACAGTGAAAGCCAGAGCGACTTATGCCAATCTGGGCCATCTTTGGAGCCTTCGTGATGTTAGTCTGGCTGTAAAAGGTCGAATCTACAACGCGTCGGTGAGAGCAGTTCTGCTCTATGCTTGTGAAACATGGCCTCTCCGAGTTGAGGATGCTAGACGACTCTTTGTGTTTGATCATCGTTGTCTCCGAAGGATTGCTGACATCCAGTGGCAACACCATGTTAGTAATGCAGAGGTTCGGCATCGTGTATTCAGGTTTACTTACATACGCCTGTTACTCCCAATGAAGCATAGGCCGCCGACCATCATTCTCCAACCCACTCTGTCCTGGGCCTTCTTTCCTAGTACCATCCAATTCTTGTTCATTTTTCTCATATCTACCTCCATTTCCCGGCGTAATGTGTTCTTTGGAAAAAGCGGAGAGGTCGTCAGTGTATAACATGGTGTCGTGGTACGAAAGAAAACTGTAAAGGGTTGGCTTTTGTCGGTCCTTCACGACTCCCTAGTTGGAGTCCTCGAGATGGTGCAACACAAAGGCTCGAGACATCATTAGGAATGGCTCAGAATAGAAATCAATGGAGATCCTGCTGATTTATTTTTTCATAAAGAAGAGAGTAACTTCTTGAACTGGAAGAATTCTTTCTTGTATTTTTCCTAACTGTGCTGCTTCTCCCATTATTATTATTATTATTATTATTATTATTATTATTATTATTATTTAGTGGCCCTATATCTGACTCCAATTGGACTGTATACTGATTGTCATCGAAATACACATGTCGGCTATCCTCATATATTTCATCGACTTAAATCGTGCTGGTGAATAACGGAATTAAATAAGTCAAGTACGAGAATGGAGTATTGAATACATGTATTTTGTACACTCATTGATGTGGAAAGGAAATGAGAGGGGTGGAGCTAATAGAAGAGAGCGAAGCGAAATGACGGGTGATGGAGAAGGCGTGTGAGCCAACTACATTTGACCAAGCGTTAATCAATATTTAGAGCCAGATAAAAATAAGTTACAGATATGTGATGAATGTGATAAGAAGTGTACACACACATACGCTCATATAAAAGTCAGAGTTGATAAGTGAATAATTAACAAAGTTCAAACATGACTCAAGGAGAATGGATAAATTGGCTTATTCAGAAGCTAGAATAAGTTATATGGGCTTAACATAGCAACCGACACTACAATTTAACTTCCATACACTAGTTTCTATTTACTGTTCTTTTTTACTATACTCACTTTCCTTTCTCTTCACAACTTCATTTTTATTGTGTGTTGTATTAATATTTGGTGGCTTCTTGTACAAATGTTTGTGCTCAAATAATAATAATTGTAGCTCGCAATTTAGATGGAACATGAAATCATACTTTTCATAAATCTATGATTAAGAGTTAAGTGTAAAGTAATGATTATGCTAGCGAATATAACTACTCAAGTGACCTGGTAAATATATTTCTTGATGCTTGGAGTGACAGGTGCTATATTCAAACCTCATCATAAAACTAATATAATAGGACCCGCTACATATATCTGACAGAATGATATCCTTGTTTAGGCAGTTAACAAGTGTCTCTAACTTCTCAAAGCCTAGATGATGATTAAATTATGTTTATTAAGTTACCAGTTACATAAATAATGTTATTAACGTAAAGAGTAAAAATAACAGTGCATGAAACGGTTTTGGCTTGATTGTGATTATACAAAAGTCTCATATGTTTGTCATATTATGCACTAATTTTTTTTCTGTAGTTTTCAGCAAATGGATGGAATAATTTCAACTCTAAATGCAAAAAGCAGCGTAAGTGCTCGAATACCGACAGTTTTCTTATATAAGTTAGTCTTGACTATCGTTTCACAACTAAACATGATTTAGGGCACACTATTATGTATCTTTTAATAACAATACTTCGTTACAACAGTCATGCAAACAGAGCCCAAAACGAAAATGAAATTCAGAACACTTGGCAATGAAAAAATTTTAACCAACGAACAAACTGTTGATTTTAGTAGTCTTAACTGTTATTGTATACAGCTATACACGAACTTTAGAAATATGGTACATTATCTTTCAGAATTGAGTTTAAATATTGGCCATGAAATTAATATAAGTAGTGCTTGATTACTTATACTTCGATCAAAAATGTAAACCCTTACTTTGTAATAGGGTTTTATAAGCAAACCATTTCGAAAACAAGAATAATTAAGTGAGGAAAAGTGTTTTTAATGACCATTGAAATTAATTTTTTTACTAAACTGTCTTTGTGCCCCCAAATGCCCTGGTATGGCCGAAAGTGGGGAGAGTCCACTCTCCCTTTCGAAGTGCTGTCACATGGCCACGCGTATATAGCCTCTGCCAGGGAAGTCCTACTCACTGCGTTCTCGTGGCATTACTGTTGTTTACGAAAATGAGAGGGACGAAAGGCGAATGTCCGACGCTTTAACCAGGTTGGTAGACATGGAGAGTCCGCCAAGGCGAGTTGGAAAACCCTGATTTCAAACCAATGCTGCACATGGGCTCCAGTACCCTGAGGGAACAAATGGCGCTCGCCGATGACATTCTTAATAAATTTGAGGAAAATATTTCAAAAGAATTAAATCTTGATGTCATATCATATATTATTTATCCTCATAATGCATCTGCTTCCTGTGGGATACTTGATCAGTGCGAAGCACGAGTACTAAATGAACTCGATCTTGATTATAATTCTGATGATTTCATATTAATTGTTGTTTCTTCTTATCCTGGAGTCATTTCTAATGAATACCCCAGTCAGTGTGAGAAATATGTTTTAAATGAAGTCACACCATTCATAACTTAGGGATATGAAGATCCAACATTATTTCATGGGGGAGGATAGTGTTGGAATATCTGTGGTTCAAATTCTGGATATCAGTGGTTTCAGTACAAAACCGACATGATGATTGTATACAATTCCAGGACCCAGCTGAATCCGTTCCAATTTCGGTTGTTAATTTGAATATTAATGAGCATATTCTAGATCATACAGAGTCTACATACAATACACGGTCAGACAGACACGATGAATCTAAGGAGAAGAGATACAAATGATTGCAGAAATTAGGATTCTCATTTGAGCTGTGGGGGATGTGGTGTTTGTATGAACTAGTGATTCCTTTGTACTTGTTGAATGCTTGATTTCGAATTCCAAATACAGTACATTCGTTCGTGCTTATCTACTACACCTTGATCTAATTGCGTTGTTTCTGGGATTCATAGTTTGTACTATAGTTCAAATACTCCTAATTATCATAGTCAAATAATATTTGATTTAAAAAAAAACAACTAAATCTGATACAGCAATCAGTTTCACATGTCTTATTCACATGATACTCAAATAGAAAGTGACTATTAGTTAAGAATGACACGATAATAACTAAAATACAAAATCCACTGTGCAGAATTATGATGTCAATTACTATAATAATCAATTAAACAAAAGGAACAAGAACATCAACTTGGTTAATTCACTCATAAAACAATTTGTGTAAATTAAATCACTGTATTAAAAACAAAAAGGCAATAGCACTATTATTACTATTACAAGTGAAAACTTGTTGAAATCTTGATAAAAATAGTAGACATATAGTACCTACTTTTTTGAGAAATAGACATTAATTCTTTACTCATATATTTCGCTTGACGAATAACATCAGGAACACTACGACCAAGAGATTCTGCGATACGTTGCCATCTCCCAGGAACACCTCCAGGATATCGAATTACCGCACGAACTAAATTGTCTCTGTCCACTTCTGACCACTGAAAAATAAAGCAGAAGCATATTTATGGTAAACTAACCTTTAATGATAAATATAACATTGAAAACCACTGTTCTGTATCTTAAATTAAAATTATCTAAACATTCGACAAAGAAAATATACAAATAATAGTAGAATAGTAAGCAGAGAGTAATCAGACATAAAAAAATCCTTATATCACACTGAATTCACAATCATTGTTAAAGTTTCTCGAGTGAACGATTTAATCAAATATGGAGAAATTAAACTGGTTAAATGTAACCCTTGGTTGGAATTTTTGAGAACAGTTAGTTCCACGGAACGACAATGGCTGGACATTAATTTACAGAAGAAAATGTTTTGTATGATCCATAACCTACCGACATAGAGTATTATCAATGATAATAGACGGTCTTATGGTCATCGAGTTTATTATTTCAGAAAACAATTCTCCAACCAAACGAAATGCTTCAATGTTCAGTTAGATCGCCTATTAAAATTCTTGAGACAATTGCTCACTGTATTCAGTTAATTTCTATTAAGGTGGAGCAATTAGATCGCTAATCAACTATCTTCTGTTAGGCATCATTCACAAGTATCCTCAAAAGTATATATTTAATTAAGTTGAATCAACAAGTGAGTTATGCTGAAGTCAAAATTACAGATGAAATGAAGTTCAAAGAAACATTAAAAGTAGGTTAGGTGAGATAATTATGCACGTACATAACTACACTCTCGCCATGACACGTGGTGCCAATTAGAATTGTAGTAAGATAGTAGAAGCGTCATGGAGTTCAAATTAAGATAGCATGAATCCGTTATGTGTATAACTTTAGCTTTGAAGTATGTTGAAAAGTATAAGATTTTCGTCTGATGTTTATGAGAAATCAGTGGTTGAATACTTCAGGTGATATAGTTTATAATCACGAGTTGAATCCACTGACTGATGATGCTAGTGAAAAATATATCTCTATTGACTTCGCACACAGCCTGTGGACTTTACAAGTTTGGGATCACAGTATATTAAAAGTCAAATTACAGATGACTTCCGGATACGTATATTTCAGGCATTAATGAACAGACAAACCGAGAGTGAATAAGCATACGCGGTGTGGAGGAGCAATTACTAGTCAACTCGCAAATACGAGACATATTGTGTAACGAAAATAGACAACGTAACAAGTTAGGAGAGAGATACTCACAGTCGTGCAAGGTCACAGAATACTTGGCCAGATAGGAATGGCACAGCTAACAGGTTACGTGGGGGTACGGTATGAAGTGCCACAAACTTAATAAGGATCATATTGATGCCAATCTATTTCTAACGTCGAGATGTGCTAGGAGAATCATTATTCTAGTGATATTAGTGCGACATGGTCCTATTGCATGTTTGCATTACTGTCGTCTTTATTTTCGCTTTGACTGTCACAAAATGTTGAAAATTAGTTAGGAAGATCACTTTTTGCCAAGTTGATTGTTTTTGTTTATCAGTCCATAGTCCAATGTCTTTAGGAAGTTACAAGTCTATCTCAACAGAAAGAGATATGGTATGAAATCTGAAATATTCAGTTTGCTGCTTATACAGTGATTACCAGGTATCATTCGGTGCCCATTGGTAATATTTTCTATAACTTCTGATTATGTTCATTCTTTCTCATACATCTGTATATCAAGGTGTTTATTACATGAAACTAAGTGATACTTAATATCTAATCTTTTTGTAACCCACGCAGTCCACGGGTACCAATCGGGTGCTATTTCACCCGTCATTTTAACAACCAAGTCTTGTTAATAGTGAGAAATGTGACGGTAATAAAACCTTTTATCAGTCTTGTTTTATTACATCAATCATTATACTGTCAACTATTTATACTCAACCACTCCGTCTGGAGTCCCTCCGGGGGCTACTGCCGGTCCCAAGCCCGGATAAAGGAGGAGGGTTGGGCATGGGGTTAGCGTCCCCATCCCGTAGAAAACTAACTCGCTAAAAAAACGCTAACCAGGAAAAATTATTCAAACCTTTTAACCTCTGCTCTGGGAGTCAGAAGGTCTTCATTTAGAAGAATTATGACGCCTCATGATGAAAGCCGAATTCCTTCGGAAGTTACGAAGCCGATTCCCCTTCTGACAACCAGAGCGACCATTTATTTAGGTACATGGAATGTTCGTACAATGTGGGACACCGGGAGAGCCTTCCAAATTGCTGCAGAAATGAGAAGATACAACCTAGAGGTACTTAAGATCAGTGAAACACATTGGACGCAAGTTGGACAACAACGACTAACTTCAGGAGAGCTTCTGTTATACTCCGACAATGAAGAAGAAAATGCCTCACATACACAAGGAGTTGCATTGATGCTGTCCAAACAAGCGCCAAGTGCGATTATAGGATGGGAATCTCATGGACCAAGGATCATCAAAGCCTCCTTCAAACCAAAAAAGGAGGGCATTACAATGAATATTATCCAATGCTATGCGCCTACCAACGATTACAATGAAGACGCTAAAGATCAATTCTACAATAGGCTGCAGTCAATCGTCGAGAAGTTCCAAACAAAGGACCTGACCACTCTGATGGGAGATTTCAATGCCAAGGTTGGAACGGACAACACTGGATATGAAGACATCATGGGACGACGTGGACTGGGAGAAAGAAACGAAAATGGTGAGAGATTCGCAAACCTATGTGCCTTCAATAAACTGGTCATAGGCGGCACCATATTCCCACACAAACGCACTCACAAAACCACATGGATTTCACCGGATCACACCACGCAAAACCAAGCAAGTGAAGAGGAGCATCAGAACCGACAAACGTAAATACGTGGAAGATTTAGCATCGACGGCGGAAAATACTGCAAGAGGAGGAAACATGAGACAATTGTATGACATAACAAAGAAACTCTCTGGAAATCGCCGCAAACCAGAACGACCAGTGCAAAGCAAGGAAGGCGAGGTAATCACCAACATTGAAGAGCAACAAAACAGGTGGGTAGAACACTTCAAAGAACTCTTGAATCGACCAGCTCCACTGAACCCACCCAACATCGAAGCAGCACCCACGGACCTCCCAATCAACGTTGGCCCACCAACAATTGAAGAAATCAGCATGGCCATCAGACAAATCAAGAATGGCAAAGCAGCAGGACCGAACAACATTCCAGCAGAGGCACTAAAAGCAGACGTAGCGGCAACTGCAAGGATACTCCACATTCTCTTCAATAAGATTTGGGATGAGGAACAAGTACCAACAGACTGGAAAGAAGGACTCTTGATCAAAATACCGAAGAAAGGCGATCTCAGCAACTGTGATAACTACAGGGGCATCACTCTTCTTTCAATACTGGGAAAAGTCTTCAACAGAGTATTGTTAAACAGGATGAAGGACTGCGTAGACGCCCAACTTCGTGACCAACAGGCAGGATTCCGTAAGGATAGATCGTGTACAGACCAAATCGCAACTCTACGGATAATTGTGGAACAATCAATTGAATGGAATTCATCACTCTACATCAACTTCATTGACTACGAAAAAGCATTTGATAGCGTGGACAGAACAACACTATGGAAACTTCTTCGACACTACGGCGTGCTTCAGAAGATAGTCAATATCATACGGAATTCCTGTGATGGATTACACTGCAAAATCGTGCATGGAGGGCAGTTGACAAAGTCGTTCGAAGTAAAGACCGGTGTCAGGCAAGGTTGCTTACTCTCACCCTTTCTCTTTCTCCTGGTGATCGACTGGATCATGAAGACGTCAACATCTGAAGGGAAGCACGGGATACGATGGACATCTAGGATTCAGTTGGACGATCTGGACTTCGCAGATGATCTGGCCCTTCTATCCCAAACGCAACAACAAATGCAGGAGAAGACGAGCAGTGTAGCAGCAGCCTCAGCAGCAGTAGGTCTCAATATACACAAAGGGAAGAGCAAGGTTCTCCGATACAACACAGCATGCACCGATCCAATCACAATTGACAGAGAAGATTTGGAAGATGTAAAAACCTTTACATATTTGGGCAACATCATTGATGAACATGGTGGATCTGATGCAGATGTGAAGGCGCGGATCGGCAAAGCAAGAGCAGCATATTTAAAACTGAGGAACATCTGGAACTCAAAGCAACTGTCAACCAACACCAAGGTCAGAATTTTCAATACAAATGTCAAGACAGTTCTACTGTATGGGGCGGAAACCTGGAGAACTACGAAAGCCATCATCCAGAAGATACAGGTGTTTATTAACAGTTGTCTACGCAAAATACTTCAGATTCGTTGGCCGGACACTATTAGCAACAACGTACTGTGGGATAAAACAAACCAGATCCCGGCGGAGGAAGAAATCAGGAAGAAGCGATGGAAGTGGATAGGGCACATATTGAGGATAGCACCCAACTGTGTCACAAGGCAAGCCCTCACATGGAATTTTCAAGGCCAAAGGAGGAGAGGAAGACCAAAGAACACATTACGCCGAGAAATGGAAATAGACATGAAAAAGATGAACAAGAATTGGATGGAATTAGAAAAGGAGGCCCAGGACAGAGTGGGTTGGAGAATGCTGGTCGGCGGCCTATGTTCCATTGGAGTAACAGGCGTAAGTAAGTAAGTAAGTAACTCGTGGAATGTTATTGAAATGAGCTTACCCGCTTGGGTAAGATAGAGATTCAACTAGAAACACGATTATCAATACAAGGACACTAAAAGTTGTGCGTTTAATACATCAGCATATAACGAAATCATTTATCGAAAATCGAAACTAGTTTCGTTAGGATGAAGCCGTTGAATGTACGCTATGTAGCTGTAAAATCGAAAACTTGAAATTATTGCTAAATGTTATAAACTAAGTAAAGATAGACGTACTTCTCGATAAACAGAATCTTTTGCTTCACTTTTTGAATATTCATCAGAACTCTCAGTTTCAATATTAGGGATGTCTGTAAGGACTGAATTCAAAGTTGATTGGCCAGCCTCCTTTTCAACTTCTCTAAGGATTGTTTGTTCGTGTACTAAGCGACGTTTGCGTTCTTGTTTATCAGCCTTAAGTTTTTCTTTTTTTTCTTGAAGAACTAAAATGTAGATAGATAAGATATAAACGACGTATATAACTAGCTCTAGATAGATACACAAAACTGGGATATTTTTCGGTTTAAGTTGATACATATTAAAATAACAAAAGGGAGTCAGGAGAATTAATATATTGGTTTTCTTGAGAAACATTAAGCCATAGAAGCAATGGTTCAGTGGTCAAGGTGTTCGACTTTCAGTCACAGTTCTGGTCTCGAACCACGTCCAACCTATTTCGGTTTAGGTAACCGGGTAGTATCACTAGCTTTCAAGTGTGGCTCATTCCCAAGGACTCGTGAACGAGTTTATTTAATTCCTTAGAAATGATAGAAACGATGGTTTAGAGGTCAAAATACTCAACTTTAAGTAATTAGTTTAATGATAAATCATGAAGGAAAATTCGTCGTCAGATTTACCTAACATATATATTTTCTTCAGTGGGTTTTAGTAAGCTACCCAGTCCTACTGAACCCATTTTTACAAAATTTACCCATAAGCAGATAAATAATTTGTAAGAGCCTACCTCGAACTTCTTCCCTGAGTTCACGACGTTCTTGTAATTTCTCAGAAATCTTTCCGTTAATAAATTCAGTGAAAACAGGAATAAATGTGATGATAGCATATATCCATCTGACAATAGCGAACGGAAGCAAATCAAACCATCCGGGAGCGGGAATCTTTTGAAGTTCGTCAGATATCTCTTGGTTTATTAGTTCCAACTTCCGATCGCGAGCTTTGTGACGTTTTAAAGAAGTGCTAAGTTGATCTTCCTAAACAATATGAATAGAAGTGAACTTTCATACCAAAGTAAGCCGCTTCTCAAAAACTGAGCCCCAAAGTGTAGCATAATGAATTATGGTAGCCATTCCAAAGAACAACCCAAACAGTTCGTAGTTAGACATTTTGCGGAGCTTTCTAAAGTAAAATACTGGGGTTCGCCAACTGGGCAAACCATTTATCAGCACTTCATCATATCTAAAAAGAATAAGGGAATGTTCTCTGATATACTTACTTGGCACGTAATTCCGAATTCTTAAGGACTTCGTAAATACCTACAAGCCTTCGGAACTTCTGTTCTGCAGTAGGATCATCTGGATTCTTGTCTGGATGAAGTTTAGAAGATAACTTTCGGTAAGCACGTTTTATTTCAGAAATATCAGCAGTCTGTACGTATATTGTAATTAAATGAAACTCAACTTTACATGAGAAACCCCCAGAAAGTCATAAAAATTTTCCTTGACTTCTTCAACTAAATCAAACATTTGGAGTTCTCCAGAATCCCATGCGCTCATTTTTCCACACAATAAGGCGAGGAAGAAAATGTAGATTATCATCGTAGACACTCACGACCACTTATTACCGTCAATAAGTCGACTTTTCGTCTGTAGGTACTGAAATGGTAGATGCTATATGAATTTGATGGTGACAGCTGACTCGATCGGCGATATATTCTGGTAAAAAAATCATGTACCAACAAACGGGTAAACATAGCGAATAGACGTATAATAAAGTGATCTAACTATGTACAAGCTCAAATCCAACCCATTATTTGCAAATGAAAATAAGTATCAAATCGTTTAGACTTCAGGTGTGTCGTATTCAGCCGTCAACAAGGTCTCACTTGGTTTCCAAGTATGTGGTTATTACTGAGAGGGTGAAGGGAAAAAATATATAAGTTTGGTGGTGATAACATACTCAACTAATTAAAGGAAACAAAGGACGATAGAGAATTAACTTGAAGTGTTACTAAGATACCTACTTCGGTCTGGGCACCCGGGCAGTACCACAGCCCACACACAAACCAAGTGACTTGTGTGGTGCATATGTATTCGGTGCCCCTTTGTACCAATATTTGTGTTCAAATATCTAAATAAACAAACCAAGATAGGTATTTCGGTGGTAAAACTGAAGATCACTGAGGTAAATTTACAACTTAAACCTGGAACGTTCAGTGATCTAAATGATCACCTACACCGAAATATCTATCGTAGTTTGTAAATACAAAGGTCAACCTTTGTATTTACATGTCATCAGTTAAAATGGAAGAATGCGAATAAATGAATTCCATATAAAAAACCAACAACCGGTACGTTGAATTTGATTGGTTTTTTCATAAATTGTAGTCCTCCTAAATATGAGTCATAAGAGCTATCAGGAAGAATATACAGTCACAATGTTTTTTCACGACTTACAAGTATTGAGTAGTTTTTGATTATGTAGACATTCCATTACATACTTTACCCCCATGATAAAAACGTTTTGACTTATTTTAATAGGGAAGGGATTGGAGTACGCGTTTCAGCAAGTCAGCTACCCTCGGCATAATACCGAAAAAAAGAATGCTTAAATGACATCCAAAGATAAGTCAAGACAAACAATCGCCTACCACAGAAGTTGAGGAGTAAAATGAGATTAATAAGGACGAAGCTTCAGACACTAAGAAACGAGCCGGAGTGCCGTGTTTCTGTAAAAATTCTACCTTTGCAGCGCCGAAAATATTTTGGTGGGATTTAGAGTGCTGTCGATTCGAACGGGGAACAAATAAACAAGGAATAATCAACAAATATAAATCTAGAGCAATAACGACACACACAAACATCCTAACTCTTGGGACGCAAATGTCATTTTGTGTCCAATACTCAACATCATTGTGGCTTCCTAGTGTAAGCCAGTTAAATCATATACCTTTGATCCAAAATATGTCCGTTTTTCTATAACTTTTAGTTTTTATGTGCCTATTATCTTGCGAAAAAGCAACAGGAATAAGTGTTAGCAGTAAAGCCTGTCAAACAGTAACGAACAATTGACTCCTACTGACTCTGAAAAGCATCAGAATCTTCAGACATCAGTTTATGCGGATTGGAAACTTTCTGGTTGGCCACTGACAAGGTACGAACTAACTACTAACCCCCTTTTGAAAACTAGAATTTACTGAACCACCTCATGGCTCAGTACTAGGTTTATTGCTGTTTATTCTTTAAGACAAGTAACTTCTACACATTGGTGTAGTCTTGATCCCTGAGCTGGATGATTTAATCGTGGACAAATATGTGGCTGAGTATCAGTTTCAGTTTGGGAAGGACAGGAGACCTGATAGCCTGTGTTAATCTTGGCAATGGTGGTCTCTCAGGTGATCCAACTTTCTTTTGAAAGAGTCGACGGATGGAGCCTCAACCACGTACTGAGGTAATGAATTCCACTCGTTGATGATTCGATGGGAAAGTCGATAATCAGTTGACAAGTAATTTGTTCTGGGCTTGTGAACTATTTTAGAGTGTCCTCGTAAATTCTCTGTTTTGGGAGACAAGAAAAATGAGGGCATATCAGGTGCGAATTTATCACTAAGCAATTTGAAAGCTGTAATCAAGTCGCCTCTAGTTCTACGACATGACAACGGGAAAAGGTTTAGCTTGGCCAGTCGAGTATCGTATGGAAGCTTCGCTATTCCGGGAATCAGTTTAGTTGCTTTTCTCTGAACCTTTTCCAGAAGCTCACTGTCTTTTTTTAAGCAGGGGCTAGCCGCTTGTATGCAGTACTCAAGTTTAGGGTGTACGAACACTGTATACAAAGTTAAAAACGTCTTAGCGTCGACATGACTAAAAGCCCTACGTATTGACCATAACGTTCTAAAACCTATACTTATACAGCGGCTCGTCTTTGGTGGAAATTCGACTGTATCTAAACGTTCTCGAGTCACTGTCCGGTTGAAAATTGTATGTTACCACCGAATACGAGAACTGAAGCAGTTTTTCTGAAACCACGTGCACCATTCAAACTGGCTGCCTTCAACGTTCGCACACTAATGCAGGTCGGACAACAGATAGGGCTGGCTATGTCTTTGGAAAGTCTCAATATTGATGTTTGTTGTCTATCCGAGACCCGTATTCAAGACTCTGGCGAAGTACTACAAATTCGATCTCCATCTGTCGCTTCGAAAAGCTTGTTTTACGTGCGCTTATCCGGGGACCCTGTGGCATCTTCGTCTGGTCTTGCTGGCGTTGGTGTCGCACTAAGCGCTAGAGCTGAGGCAGCACTAGTCGATTGGATCCCCATTAACAGTCGGTTATGTGCTGTTAGATTAGAAAGTTCCATCAAAGTGAGAAGAAATCGGCGTGAGAAACGATGTCTTTTCGTCATCTCCGCCTATGCCCCGACAGATTGCAGCCCGGATGCAATCAAGGATGAGTTTTACCACCAGCTGTCTGTTCTTCTCCAGAAAGTGCGCTCGACAGATATTGTAGTACTAGCCGGAGACTTGAATGCGCAGGTCGGGCGTCTAGGCACAGAAGAGAGTCGTTTAGGTGGCCGATGGGGACTCGTTGGTCGCAGGTCAGATAACGGGGACCGTCTGCTGCAACTTTGCACAGACCACAACCTGTTTCTGGCTAGCACTAACTTTCGGCACAGTCATCGCCGATGTGCCACCTGGCGTCCTCCCTCTGCATCCCAAGCCTGGACTCAGATTGATCACATCGCGATCAGCTTCCGCTGGCGTGGTTGTGTAAAAGACTGCCGCTCCTTTTGGAGTACCTATCTGGACTCTGACCATGCCTTGGTCTGCGCCAATCTTGCCTTACTTTTCAGTGGACAACGAAGTGACCGCCACCAACAGATTGATGTTAGCAAGCAAGTTGCAACTTCTGTTGCAAGTAAGTATCGAACCGAGCTAGCTTTTAGGCTAGCTACCACTCCACCGAAAAGTATAGATGAGCATTGGTTGCAATTGCATGACGCCATGAAAATGGCGGGAACAGTCAGTTGTGGGTTTGCGAAACGTCCCGCTTTTAAGCACTGGGTTTCTTCTGGTTCCTTACAACTTATTGAAGCCCGTCGGTCGACTCCGGGTGACCGTGAGTTTGACCATAAACGAAGGATGTTACGTAAGGAATTTGGGCAAAGCTTGCGTAAGGACCGAGAAGCCTGGTGGTCGGAGCGTGCTAATGAGATGGAAGCAGCAGCTGCATCTGGTAACTACCGGAAGCTCTTCCAGCTCATCCGAGCCACTGGCAGCAAGAAGTCTGGTGTGAGTGAAACAATCTGCGAGGATGATGGGATGCCAATCACTAACATCCATCGACGTCTTGGACGATGGGCAGAATTTTTCGAAGGGCAGTTCAACTGGCCTGCTGCTCCGGCAACATCGGTCAGACTGTCCTGCCCTCCATGGCCGGTAACGACTGATCCACCAAACGAGGAGGAAGTCCGCAAGGAACTCCAACTCTTGAAGCGTTACAAATCACCTGGCCCAGATGACTTACCTCCGGCTCTTTTTAAAGATGGTGGTGACTTTTTGACTAAGGAACTGACGACGTTGTTTACAAAGGTTTGGGAATTAGAGAGTGTACCAACGTCATGGAATGAGTCGATAGTTGTCCCTATCTTTAAAAAGGGTTCACGTCGTTCCTGCAACAACTATCGGGGGATAAGTCTACTTCCGATTGCGTCCAAGCTATTGGCTTCCGTCATACTTCGTAGGTTGTTCAAAACCCGAGAAAGATTGACTCGCGAGGAGCAGGCTGGTTTTCGTTCTGGTCGAGGTTGTATTGATCATATCTTCACCCTCCGCCAAATGTTAGAACATCGCCATACTTATCAAAGGCCAACAATCGTAGTGTTTCTTGACATCAGGGCTGCCTTCGATTCGTTGGACAGGACTGTTCTCTGGGATTGTCTATTGAAGAAGGGTGTGCCTGAGAAGTTTATTAACATCCTAAAAGCCCTATATAAAAACACCTCAGGCAGAGTGAGGGCATACAACCACCTCTCTCCATTGTTCTATACGAGTAGTGGGGTTAGGCAGGGTTGCCCAATCTCACCATTCCTCTTCAACTTTGCCATCGATGACATTCTGGAAACAGCTCTGATGAATGTAAGTAATGGTGGTGTGGATCTGTTGCCTGGAGAAAGACTTCTCGACCTTGAGTATGCGGATGATATTGTCTTACTGTGCGATAATGCCCAAGGCATGCAATCCGCACTTAATCAGTTGGCAATCAGTGTCCGTAGGTATGGTATGTGCTTTGCACCTTCGAAGTGCAAAGTACTTCTACAAGACTGGCAGGATTCCAATCCTGTACTCACCCTGGATGGTGAGCAGATAGAAGTAGTCGAGAAGTTCGTGTATCTGGGTAGTTGCATAAGTGCTGGTGGGGGTGTGAGTGATGAGATCAATGCACGTATAGTGAAAGCCAGAGCGGCTTATGCCAATCTGGGCCACCTTTGGCGCCTTCGTGATGTTAGTCTGGCTGTAAAAGGTCGGATCTACAACGCGTCGGTGAGAGCAGTTTTGCTCTATGCTTGTGAAACCTGGCCTCTCCGAGTTGAGGACGTTAGACGACTCTCTGTGTTCGATCATCGCTGTCTCCGAAGGATTGCTGACATTCAGTGGCAACACCATGTTAGTAATGCAGAGGTTCGGCATCGTGTGTTTGGGCACAGAGACGATAATTCAATTGGTGTCACCATCTTGAAACACCGACTTCGGTGGCTTGGACATGTTCTACGAATGTCGTCCCAGAGAATTCCACGTCGTGCATTATTTGCCGACTCTGGGACTGGTTGGAAAAAGCGGAGAGGTGGTCAGTGCATGACATGGTGTCGTGGTATGAAAGAAAGCTGCAAAGGACTGGCTTCTGTCGGCCCTTCACGACTCCTTGGTTGGGGTCTGAGAGATGGTGCTACACAGTGGCTAGAGACGTTATCAGATATGGCTCAGAATAGAAGCCACTGGTGATCCTGCTGTAACCTTCTTTTACTTTCTTCATAAAAAGTGGTTGTATCTCCCTTACTTGAAAGATTTCTTCTGATTGTACCTTTCCGTCCCATCGTTACGACCGCACTACCTTTCACCAATCTCTTTGTTATCGTTCTCTTTTTCTTTTGTGCTCCTTAGTTTTTTTTTTCTTTTCTCTCTTCGAATTTTCATTGTTTTGTGTGGCGCATATATATTGGCGCTCTCTTGTACCAATATTTATGTGCTCAAATAATAATAATAATCTAAAACCTTTGGGGGCTATTGCACGGCAGTGTACAGTAGTCTTTAGATCTTGGCTAACGATGACTCCTAAGTCATTATATGTCTGGACGACAGGTAGCTCAGTGATATTCATCGTGCATGTATCTGTACCTAGATGACCGATATGCATCACGACACACTTGGAAGTATTTATCGGCAACTGCCAGGTTTGGGACCATTCAGATAACTTCTTCAGGTCATTTTGAAGTTCTAAGCTATCACTCTTACATCGTATCGCTTTCCATATCTTGACATCGTCAGCATATAGCAAGACCGATGATGATAGGAGACGATGAAGGTCATTTACATACAAGAGGAATAGCACTGAACCCAAAACTGTAACCTGGGGCACTCCACTAAGCACAGTTCCCCAGCTAGATAACTTTGAGTTCACCCGTACTCTTTGTTGACGCCCAGCTAGGAAGTCTTTTATCCACATCAATAGATTGCCTCCAATCCCGACATTTCTTAACTTATATAACAGCCGGTTGTGCGGAACTTTGTCAAAAGCTTTGCTGAAATCAATGAAGGCTACGTCTACAGGTAACTTTTAGTCCTTAAGAGCGCACCAGCTTTCACGAGCCACTAATAAGTTAGTGAGACAAGAGTAACCTACTCTGAAACCGTGCTGCTTCTCCGAAAGGATCCGGTTTCCATCGAGGTACTTAAACAGCTCCTTCTGAATCATTTTTTCTAAGATTTTAACAACCACACTAGTTAGGCTTACGGGGCGGTAATTCTCAGGTTTGTGTTTCGTACCTGTTTTGAAGACAGGACTTACTATGGCGTTTTTCCAGTCTTTTGGTAAACGACTCTGCGTTACGGATAAGTTAAAGCATATACTTAAAGGGTTCGCAACCAAGTTAGATAATTCCTTCAGTAGCCTAGGATGTAATTCATCGGGCTTCGTGGATCTACCTATGTCAAGCTTATTTAGTAGACCAAAGACATCGAGTTCTTTAATGGTCACGCTATCCAGTATATATGTGGGGGAATCTGTATGCACTGACGGGGTGCTTCTATGGTATATACGTTGCTAAAGTAGTTCAAGAACACGAGCCTTACCAAAGTCGTCCTCTACTAATGATGCGGCAGTGCTGTCTCCCCATAGAGAAGGAATATTCCCTCTTCTCTTTGTCCTTTGGTTTATATAGGACTACAAACGTTTAGGACATTCTATGGATTCCTCAACATTTTTTTTCTTCGTACAACTTTCTAGACTTACGGAGGGTCAAGGCACAGGTATTTCGAGCTTTTCGATACTGAGATTTTGTCTCATCAGTCCCCAGTAACCCAAATTTATCCCACATTTTTCTTCTCTTACGGAGAAGAATGCAGACCTCCTTACCGAACCATGGTGGGGAGTTTCTCGGCCCCCTTGGTATAGTCCAAGGGATGTGGGGTGTGGTGACTTTTAAGTATGAATTTCGAAATGCGTCTCAGGCCGTTTCAAATGACGACTCTGTGTATATTGTCCAATCTACTAACGATGCTGAGTGCACGATATCTGGTATGTTTGCTTTCCAGACGTTAGGTCTGGATTGGACCGACGCGTGTTCGTGACTGACAGTTATATGGAAGTCGAATTTTAAAACTGCGTGATCACTTTTACCTAGGGGTGGCATATAATGGAGGTCCGCAACGTCATCCTTATAGTGAGTCAGTATAAGATCTAGTAGGGAGGATCGAGTCGTACCTTGTCGCTTCTTGAACATGTTGCACTAGGGCACATGTGATAACCGCATCAACTAGCTCCTGCCTGAAGGAATTTTCTGACGATTCAGTTCGAAGATTTACCCAGTCTACCATTGGTGCATTAAAGTCCCCTAAGATTAGACATCGACCACTTTGTGACCAAGTGTTGAGACTGCTTAACAGGACCTCATTTACCTCACAGCTTTGACTGCGATAAACCAAACCAATCGGCAGCTCTTGTTCCTTGCATTTCAAGCGGCAACTAACTAATTCACATGTCCCACTCTCATGGGATACACTGTCGATAATGGCAAATTGGATAGCATTTTTAATAAATAGAGCTACTCACCCCTCCTTTATGCTTTGGTATTCTGTTGGCCCTTACTAACGTAAAACCTTCGAAATCAAGTTCCATACTATCTATAGACTGTGTCAGCCAGGTTTCTGTAACTACGATTATGTCTGGCTTTGTAGAGTCAATCTGTACATCTAGTTCCGATCGCTTATTAAGCTTCGGGCATTAGTGTAAAAGACGCGAAGCCTATTCAAGTGGCTTCGTGCTTCACCCAGAGTGGCTTCGGCATCATTCTCTGTCGAAGCCTTACAACCCCAAAATTTACAATTCTCAGGTCCTTTTCGCCAGCGTCTAGCCTAAGTTGTAGCTCTTTTTCGGCTTCCCATCTTTTTACACGGTCTGTCCTTACGGATAAAAACTCCTTTAATTTATGTCCATTCTGTTAAATTAGGTCGCGTTCGTTCGAAGATTTGAATACTACTTTAAGCAGTCTGGATTGATTTGGTTTCAAATTCGCTAGACTCCCCAGTCTGTACACCTTTAGCAAGGTGACCCCGGTGAGGCATGAGTTGATTAAGCAGCTGTTTATTCAGCACAATGTCATGCTCAAAACGAGCTTTTGGTTTAGAACTCTCACTCTTCTTGATCCTAACGCAACCCTTTTTACTGAACCTTATGAAAGACGCAGGCGTTAAATTCGTGCAAACTTTGTAGTACCATCCGTTGCACTTATCGCACTGCATGCCGCTTTCAACGGAATAACGACAATCCGTACGTTGGCAACTGCTTTTTTTGCACTGTCCGGTCATTAGAAAGAAGTCCTTTCCAAAAAAGAGCGAGATACAATAACGCTCAAAGACAAAAAATGATCTATGACCAAAAAAGTGGAGAACTGTGGATTGTTAGGACCAAAAGTACTAAGAGTGCCGACGATAAACTAATTGAGAAACAGTAAACGATGCTCTAGTCGAATACATTAACTGAAATAAATTCAATTGAAGTGAAAACAGTAGTCTTGATACGTAATGAACGATCAAAACACAGCGAAGAAAAATACCACTGTCCTTGTTAATTAGCGCTCCCCAAGCTGCCAGCTTTGGAGGGATTTTCCCCCAAATTTCCCCAAACTTTGAGGAAAACTATTTCATTTTGGGGATTTCCCCAAACATTGGGGAAGGTTTTTCACTTTGGGGGTTTCCCCAAAGCTGGCAGCTTGGGTCTTCATTTCATATCAGGTTACCTTCCATATATCTGCAAACCCAAAAACGTCTATGGACTAATAACTACGAAATATGGGGATAGGTAGTGAAAAAGTTAGCGAACTTGCACTCCAAGTCTACTGGCAATAGTCATGATTAAAGATCAATGACGATAAGCGCATCACTCTGCACGTTGAACATGAAAGTTCCAGTGATTACTAAATTATAGAAAGTATCCCGCATATAGTTCGAATTTGAAACTAGTAGATTGCAGAAAGTGATGACCTCAAGATCATAACTTACCGCCCTCTGTTGTAGCTAAAGTGTGGCGCGGTAAAAACGTAAAATCCACTCAGAGTCCCCCGCCGTTTCGTTTCAACGACCTTGAACGGGTAGTATGCGGCCGTCATTTCATATTTGAATCTCAGTCAGTTTGCTGAGTGTCGGTTGGATTTTACGGATTTTGGGTGTTCTCACATCAAGTAGTCTATCACTACTAAAGAACTAAAAAATCATTCCGTAGAACGTTAACTGATCTTCCTCGCCTTTATAGCCTAAACTTTATACCGACATCGTGCGCGCTATTCAACGTTATAACACCAACAACGTTTGACGTAGAAGGAAGTAAAAGTCATATTTGCATTCATGTATTTAACGGACTTTTCATGTTTTTAAATGAATTTCATCGAAATAACAGATTATGGTATGAATTTTGTCGACTGTAATTTTTCACCATGTCAGACTGCGTTACCCTTGGCAGGTGCAATACATGCTGAAATGATATACTAAGTTGTAGAAAGCTTATTTGTAGTCGTTTTCCTTTAAATAGAGATCATCACTTAATAATGGAGAAACGTTTCGGGGCTAATTTAAGTCCTGGTAGTTGTGTTGTAGACCATGCTTTGATACTTAAAAGACTGTAGTTCTGTGCCTGAGAACATTATCGTTTGTTGTCTTCCGGGAAATTTTTGTTGTCTTATATTTCGTTCTTTGAGTTTATGAGCCAGTTTGAATCGAACGCTCTTCAGCACATTGGTAGCTCCCAAAACATATCTATGCTATCTTTAGCCTCTTAAGTTTAGTACACCCGGTTATCACATAATTCAGTTAAGTCCAAACGATAGTGCCTAAAGGAAGTTATGAAAACTATCAATGTAGCAACTAGAGTTGTCTATTTTTCATGTGCTAACAACACTGATCTTAGATGCAAACTAATTTCACTGTCGTTTGATAATCATTAGAAAATACTTTGGGAAAAACGGATGAACATTTCATCACACAAAACACGTAAACATTCCAAAAGAAGTGCACTGATTTGAGTATTAGTTGTAATTGTTATGGTGATATTGTGACGATTATCGAACCACGCTGGGAAGTACAGAGAAGAATTTCACACAAATAAAGTGGTGGAACTCAAAAACGTGGTGGACATATAAATCATTGATGTCTTTGCCGTTTCATAGATACAATTAACACCAGAGAAGTATTAGAGTGAAACAAAGTTGTTTGGTTTTTTACTTTGTGGGGTTGACAGAGTGAACCGTAGGGGTGGCGGCGTTATCCTGTGCATGAAAAGCATCTTAGCCATACGATATATCGAGATAATGGCATACGACTCGGGAAAATGTGAAATGGATCTCCCTCGGTAGTGTGGTGTTCCTGCCAGAACAGACTTTTTCATGCATAATGGTATCGCAACAGAAGTTAAGATGTTTATGAATTTCACTTGCCCTGGATCTGTATAGTTTGCATGTATATTAGGTAACAGACGAACGCTTCTAGTGATATTGGTCCCAACTACAATCATCGAAGCCGAACATAAGATAACCGGGAAAATAGACTTTCAACATGTAACACTAAGAGAAGGCCAATAACAGTGAACGCGGGAACATTGATTCGAAATTCATTTACATCATGGCTATCTCCCCAATATTTCCTGATACACATATAGACATAAAAACTACCTCAGGAGAGGTCTTTACTCGCCTCACCTTAGTATTTGCTACCACCTCTTTTTACTATGTCTTCGATCTGATAGATCAACCGGTGATTTTATTAGACATAGAGCAAACATTTTTGCAGCTCAACGTTTCCTCTGTACGTCATCGTATGCGAAGCCTTTGCATGTACCTATATACTTGAACTACATATGTCAGAGAAATCCTGTGGTGGTATTGGGCCATAATACGAGACAAAGTGTGAAATAGACATTCAGCACTTAGAACGGAGAAAAACTCAACGATTAAGAGGGCAAGAAGAATAAATTGAATTAATTGGAGTTGATCGTATAACATGACTCGGCCATGCAGGCGTGGTCCCTGCTGAATGCTTCCTTATATCTTCTATTCATATTAATTATATTGTTCTATCTCTAGACTACGTTTGTTCTCTACCATGTATTGGTAATTGTTACAATGTAGTGAGTTGATGTAGACGATGATGTGACTTCCACGTAAGATCTTATAGATTAGGTAAAGTATCATGACAACTCTACACTTATAGGATTAGGTCTATTATTAGAGAAGTACTAATATCAGAGTAGACCATAAATCTTCACTCCTGCAGTTCTCATACGTAAGCATGCACATCTGGTAGCCCGAGCTATAGAGTAAGCTTCAAGTAAGAAACCAAGGGTGATCAGATGCAACAGAATGGGTGGTCGGTGCGATCTCTCCGGCTGCCTAAGTTTCGTAGTGCAGCTGCTCCCACTATCCCCCGAAAACACGAGGAATCGTTGGGTCGGATTCTGCTGCCAGTTAAAACGAACCTCCTCCAAGAATGAGTGAGGTGCACAAAGTCTCCAGATAATGGAAAATCAGTGGATGTTGTTAACGTAGACCAACAAAGTACTTGATAAGGTGTCAAATAATAAGCTCCAAGTCACTACCTAATGAATTACCCCAAGGCTCCGTCCTGTGTCCTTTATATTTTATACTGTAAATTAACTCCCAGAAACTGTTGATCATGCAAAAACCTGGTGAGAAACGATTAAGGATGTAGATGCATATGCACTTCAGGAGGACCCAGATGTTCTGGTTAGTTGGTCTAAAGCATCGGCTGATGCATACCAACGAAGCTAAGTGTGTCTGCATGCTCATTGGGGATCCAAAGATATCCAGGCACAGCAAGGGGGAAGAGTCGGTGACCGTTATTCAGGCTCACATGTATATTGGGGTGAGAACTAGCCATTATCTTAAGACCATGACTCACTGTGGTCGTAGCCAAAGGATTCAGGGCCCTCCAGGCTTTAAGATGGACATTTATGAAGTTGGATACCAAAATGTTCACTATAGTATACACAAACGTAGTGAGATTCAAACTTCAGAACTGGATTCAATCTACAAACCCCTGTTTAAATAGAGACTCGCATATCTTGGAAAGAGTACAGGAGTAGCTGTTCTTACAATTTCAGATTTTTAGGGTTTACCATGCAAAGAGCGGCTTCAGAATCCCAACTTCCTAACTCTGTCTAACTTCAGATTAAGAGGTGATTTTATTTCGATGTACAGAATACCTATAATTGATTTAGACTAGATATACCCTCACTTTTTATTCCTATCAAGTCACGACGACTCGGAGGAAATAAGAGGAGAGTACAAACGCCGTGAACGATCACAATACCCATGACGTACAGGCTTACACAACGAGTCATTGATTCTTGGAACTGTTACCTAGAGAAAGGGTATCTGCTCCTTTAATTGACTCATTCGTGAGAAGACTAGACATTCTAAGAAGCTTACTAGAATAGAACCCCAACGGGCTATAGGCTTCCTGTCCTGAAGCTGCAATCTGCTTGTTGCTTTTAAAATTAATCTTAAAAATTAATTTCTCTACAGAATCTCTGTGCTTCTGTTAAAAACTTGATTAAATCTAGAAAACTACGTGGTGTCTGGTGGAATGTCATAATATCACCAAACAGAACTTCTGAAATAAAATAATATCTGGTAGGTGTTATGAGACTGGTGCATCACAGTGAATAGTTCCATCTCATAAACCAGTTCACTCCTTTTAAGGGGAGGAAGGTTCTAGTGGGACTGAAAAAGATGAGATATGTTTATGTGGAATGCGAAAACTGATTTGATGTTCATGTTCGACCGTGGAAGACATTTTGAACTAGATACAAGCACTTATGAGTGCAACAGTTGGACATTTGTAACACACCAGTATTCCTAGAGCCATATCCTCCTGTCATACATAAGAAGAATAACTTTTATAGGTAACCTCAACTAATTCCGAGGTATAAATTGAGTAGTTAATCATGTTTTTGGATAATGAACTTGATAGAAGCTAGATGACACAAGTATCTTTCGTAATAACACAAGAGTTTCGTCTGTGGAGCAAAACAAACGGTATTTACAGATTGTACGAAGCCAGATAATTCATAAACAGTAGATTGCGGTTAAATACACTGAGAGGTTTGTGATGGAATTCTATGTAAAAGCCGATGATAATTACCTTAGGATCAATAATAACTACGTACGAATCCAGTCTCTTTGACGTTCATTTTTGCATAGTCTATGTTGAGCGGATAGCAGAGGATATGCTTTCAACACTTCTAAGTTCCAAGTAACCCATTTAAGACATGTTACTAACTACGCGTATGAATGAAGGAGGTTGGACGGCAACACTTTTGACTCTATCTTCAACAACTTTATTTGAACCCATGTGGAGTGTGTTACAGCTCTCTTTCTGGAAGTAAAATACACAGAAACGTATCCAAAGACAGGCAATAAAATCAGTTTGAAGACGTGAGTTCGAAGCTTATGCAAGGCTTCAAGATGGCACAGCTATTCGGAAGCTGACAACGCATTTACTCGTAACACGATTATACTCAAAGGACATCAGCCCAATCAAATCAGAAATCGGAAACGAAGAGTTTCGAAAATATGTTTCGAAAGCCATCAATGTTTGGTCCAAACTGGCTTGTAGTTGCAAGGGATATGTAGCACAACGTACATACTCGATATTGATGAAAAACAAATGCGTGACCGATAGCCTCCAGTTGGGTAGTGTATAATAAAACTAACGAGGTCAGAATCCATATCTAGAACTTTCAGAACTATTTAATTTGGAGAAATTACTTGCTGATACAAGCGCCTCGAGTTATTGCCGCTCGTGTTTAGATTTTAAAGTTAGTAAAATACTCAGGCGACCCAATTATGTAATAGTAAGGCAATATTTAAGGAGGAGAAAAGTGTAAAGATTAGAGTTTTGATATTTGATTTGAACTCAAATGATCGGAAAATTTTACAATTTTAGACTCTTGCATACTCTTTGGTTTGCTACCTATCCTCACCATCTCTAAACCAAATATAATCTGACCTGTGGTTTTTGACTTATACCTAGTTATAGTCATAGCAGTATGATATACTAAATAGATATCTGACCCACAATACAGATGCTTTAACCATCTGATATGCCTCTAACATGGAACTAGTAGAGTAAGTGTATTCGAAAAAGGAGTTTAGATTAAAGCAATATTCGTACGCACCGCAAACGTAAGAGAGTCTAATATCACAAAAGGAGGGAGGGTGGCCTTACTTACCAGCAAACATGATGGCGGG